CCACACTGTGCCTCGACCCCACTGTGCTACCGTTTTTAAAAAATTATAGCACTTTAAAGTAAAAAATGTAAATTATAAAATCGAAAATTTTCACACAAAAATAGCATTCGGTAGCCGTTTTCTCCATGAAGACAAATCCAGAGGTCAAAATTTTTTTTTTTATAGTACATGAAATAAGCNTTTTTTTTTTCATTTTATAGTACATAAAATAAGCTTTAATTTGATATATGTTTAAAGGACGCAGTATTTCCGGAACATTTTCAAAAATTAAGTTGAAAAAGTTAGTTTTTGTAAAAAAGTTGCAATTTTAAATCCCTCTCCATGAGCAGGTTAAGTGTTAAATTTTCAAAAAAATTATATCAAATGAAAGGAAAATATCTTAAGTTTTAGTTTAAAAAAAAAATTTGTTGATTTTTGAAAAAGTTATGGAAGTTTTAAGAAAAAAAAGTGAAAAAAATGACAAAATTTGTCGATTTTTAAATTTGTAATTTTTTTGGATATTTCTCCCATTTGCGGGGAACGAGGGAAAATTTTTCAATTTTTAAGGGTAATGTCTTCAACTAGATACGATTTGTGATCTTTTGACGTTTTGTTGAAAGAAATCGGTCCAGTGAGAGCTGAGAAAAAGTAGTGACAGACACAAAAAAAAAATAATAAAAAAAAAAAACACATCATGGTAAAATTAATACCTTCTCAGCTTCACATCGTAGCTAAAAATATTACATTTAACAGTATTAATAAATCAGTAAACTATCATTTTTCTAAGTTTTGAAGATATTTTTATCTTTACGTAAGTGTTTTATTAGTATTAAATTTTTAGCATTATTTCTATTTTGTAACCAATAAAAATTTAACGTTTAATTAATTTAATATTAATAGTATCAAAAAATCATTAACTTTTTTAATAAAAAAAAAATACTGACATTTTTTTGTTGACTTTTCAAATAATTTAGTATACAAGAATAAAATTTATATTGTTTAAATTTTATAGTTTAATTAATTTATAGTTAAAATAATCTTTAGGAAAACTTTGGAAATAATATAAAATTAACTACATATTTTAATGACAAAAATCTATTATAAAAAAATTAATTATTCCAGTATCACGTTGAAACTAATAAATTTTTCTCTGGATATAATGTTAGATAATTATAAATATAAAAACTGTTAAATTTTTTTTTATAAAAAATTGTACATATAAAGCTAACAATATTTGTAAATAATTATTTACTTAACTATTTATTATAAAATCTATAGCATTTATAATCAATGACTTAACTGCAGAAATTTAATTTAGAATAATAAACTATTCCTCAGTAACTATATAAAAATTATTGCTTTGTAACATACAGTTAAGCTGCTCAACTTGAGCATAATTGTAAAGTTAACCAAAACTTACTTTTATTTCATAATATATATTCAATCATGGAAAAAAATCTAATATGAAAAAATAATAATATTTGGAATTATAAAAAACTAAAAAATAGTTTTTAGATATTCATAATTCTTATAATTTTATTTTATTATTTCTTTAAAATTTCATCATCAAAAATTTATAATAAATCAACCATTTAAGATATTTTAGAATTTTAATCGACTAGAATTTTTTTTAATCTATTTATGAAAAAAATTACTTTTAGTCATATTGAAAGTATTTTCTTACAAACATTAATAGTGTTTTATTTTAACATATTATATAACTTTAACTTTTACTGTTTACCTTTTAAGATTTGTGCATTACATGCTATGTAAGAATAGAATGTATCTAGCAGTATGTTATAAAAATAAGTTATATCTATACTTATAACATTTAATATATTTATATAATTACTTCTAATAATATAAAACACTTTTCTTATAAATATATTCTGTGTCATCTCTACCAAAAATATACAGCCTTTAAAACGCTCGGAAAAATCATTGCTAAGTTTAATGAATTTTTGTTTATCTTCTTCCAATTTTGGTGATTGGTTATATTCATTAAAAATTAAAATTATCTGATCAATCGGTTCTCTACGTAAACGATAATCTCTAAATTTTTCTGATAGAAAATTGAAAAATATTGACGCCTCATTAAAATGATGACTAAACTTCTCGTGTTCTTTTGGTATAAATTTTATTGTATTTGCAGTGAATACACTATATTGAATTAACATTGTAATTCCCATGCTTTCAATAACATTTCTAAGCCAAACTATGGCTTCCATTGGATCGTTATATTCTTGTATAGCTTGATCAGTAATTTCTCGTAAGGTTCTTCCAACAACAGGCGTACGGTAAAATAAACGAGGAGCTGAACCTAAATATTCTTCATCCAAAGGTACAGGTTTGTCAATGTCGTCATTTAGATAGATTTCTTTGGAGTTTTTGATTGCAACTTTAGCACTAGTATACACAGAACTGTTCCGTATTACAAAATGTAACATTGTCTCGTGGTTATGTATATGTTCTCTTGCAATATCAATTGTTATATTGTTCATATCAATTTGCACACACGTATAGTTTTTAGCTAAACTAATTAACAACAATGCGTAAATACTTAAAATCATGTTAAAGAAAATTAAAATTAATCTGAGTGAAAATCTAATATAAATATGAAGAGAAAAAATCATTAAAACATAATTTTTGACATATGCGGACTTTTTATATCATGAAAAAACTATAAAATAATTGGAGAATTATAATAACTCTTGATTAATTTTAAGATCAAATAAACTGTTTTTTCATTTTTATGTAAATAAAAGTATACTATTAATATATTTTTCATAAAGTAAAGACAACACATAATAGTTTATATTTGAGTGCAAAAATGACTAATTTATATGCGTTTCATTTATATCCCACTAAACATTTTAAGTTTTGAAACGTATTATAAATGTTCATTTTAAGTGATAATACAAACTTAAATTTGTTAACATTCATTTGATGTTAAAAAATTATAATTTTATTATGACAAGTATTATTTATATACTTTTTTCATTCAAGATAATTTTTATTTAAACGGATGAAATGTATAAAGGTACATTATACATTATATATATATATATTATAAAGGAAAAAGGAGATCGTGTAGCTTTTGGAATAAATTATTAATTTTTTTAAATTAAACAATATCTACAGATTTATATCGATGCGTTTTTCTGGATAGTGATTTTAATCACAGTCAGATATCATCTATACTTTTCCCAACTATGTCACTTCCATACTGTGCCGCGACTCCACTGTGCTACCGTTTAAAATTAGTCTCTATAAACTCTAAGGTTCCATCCCATGGTAAAGAGCATAGTAATAGTACAATGTTAACTTTTTTGTAATTAACCTCCTTATAATGTGACAAGTGCACAATTACAAAAAGCATGAAATTAGTCAATAAATATGTACTCAATAATTAAAAAATGAGCAAAGTATAAAAGTAATTTATTAGTTTATTTGTAATTCTTTTGGATTTATTTTTTTTAGAATAATTTTAAAAATGTAAACCTCTCCTGTATAAAGGAAAATGGCCCATTTAAAAAAAAAAGTATGTTAAATGAAAGAAGTAAAAATAAGTATTTTTGAAAATTTAATTGTATTGTTCCATATATTTTTCAAAAAGTCATAGTAATTTAATGTTAAAAAAATTGTATATTTTTTAACTACAGCGACCATTTGCATATAGAAGATAAGTGATCGGGACAAATTTTTTTAGCTTCGATGCGAAGCTGAGAGTATTATTTTTACCATGATTTTTTTTTGTTTCTGTTACCACTTTTTCAGCTCTCACTGAACCGATTTTGATGAACAATATGTCAAAAGATCACAAATCGTATCTAGTCGAAGACATTACCTTCAAAAATTGAAAAAAATTTCCCTCGTTCCCCGTAAATGGGAGAAATTTCCAAAAAAATTACAATTTTTCAAATCCGTAAATTTTGTCATTTTTTTCACTTTTTTCCCTAAAACTACCATACCTTTATCAAAAATTAACAAAACAACTTAATTTTTTTTTATATTAAAACTTTTGATGTTTCCCTTTCATTCAATATCATTTTTTGAAATTCTTACACTTAACCTGCTCACAGAGGGGATTTAAAATAGCAATTTTTTTTATGAAAATTAACTTTTTCAACTTAACTTTTGAAATTGATCCGGAAATACTGCGTACTTTATACATATATCAAATTAAAGCTTATGTCATATACTATAAAATTAAAAAAAAATATTTGTCCTATTGAATTATCTTCTATGTATAAAAGCTGCCGTAATTAAAAACATGATATTTTTGTGTTAGAAATATGTGTTTTGTATTTTATGTTATTTTAAAATATCTTAGAAGAGAAATACATTGACTTTCATGAATATTATATATTTTAATGACATAGATTAACGTTTATAAGACATAAGATTCAATAAATATCAAGGATCTCACCACTGTCGTCTCCCCTCATGAGAAAATATTTCTCATTCCTATTAATACTATTTTATTATGCGTTTTTTTTTTTGTGGCTGCTATTTATTTTTCCAACCCTCACTTAACCTACTTTTTCAACAATATGTCAAATGATTACAATGCGATTTTAGTTATTTGTCGAATTTGATTTGATATAATAAAATTATTCAACTACAAAAGTAAATAATTTTACTTTGTAATTTGTTAATTTTTTAACTCTATTTGCGTGTGCTACTATTTGTCTATAACATTCCAATTTTTTTTGAAACATGTTACATAAATTATAAATCTAAAAAAAAAATTAGTTTTAGTTTCAACTCAATTTAACAATGGATTTTTACAATTATAATCAAATTTTATAATACACTCAATTGAGTAGATCTTTTTAATAATTTTTTTTTGGATTAAATTAACTCATTAAAATTATTTCAGTTCTGTATTTCAGTAATTATATAAAAATTATAACATTGTAACATACAGTTGAGCTGCTCAACTTGAAAAATATTGTAAAGTTAACTTACGTTTATTTCATTTCACATTAATATAACGTCAATTATGGAAAATATTATAAATAAAAAAAAAAATTATTTAGAATTATTAAACAACAAATAAAACACAGTTTTTAGATATTCATAAAGATAATTTTTAATTTAACTCATTAGTTTTTTCTGAATCTATAAAAAAAAAAAAATTATCATTAGTCATACTGAAAGTGCTTTTTTATAAATTATATAACATTAAAATACTATAATGTATTCTACTATTTACCTTTTAACATTTTTGCATGACATTTTATACAAGAATAGAACATATGCTGTAGTATCTTTAAATAACTTGGTATATCATGTGTAGATTTTAATTTAGTTAAATTTCTGCTTTGGAGTAGTTCAAAAATTTTGGTTATATATGGATCTCTTGGCATCGTTACTAACTGCATACACATTATAAAACGTACCAAAAAATCATTGCTAAGTTTAATGAATTTTTGTTTATCTTTTTCAGTTTTTGAGATTGGTTATATTCATTAAACATTAAAATTATTTGATTAATCGGATCTTGACGTAAACGATAATCACTAAATTTTTTTGATAGAAAAATGAAAAAAGTTGTGGCCTTATTAAAATGGTCAATAAACTTCTCGTGATCATCTAGTATGTTGTTTAACGTTTTTACTGTAAATTGACTATATTGAATTAATGCTGTAATTCCAACACTTTCAATAACATTTCTAAGCCAAACTATGGCTTCCATTGGATCGTTATATTCTTGTATGGCTTGATCAGTAATTTCTTGTAAGGTTCTTCCAACAGCAGGCGTGCGGTAAAATAAACGAGGAGCTGAACCTAAATATTCTTTATTCAAAGGTACAGGATTATCAATGTCGTCATTTAGGTCGATTTCTTCGAAGTTTTTGACTGAAACTTGATCACTAGTGTACACAGTACCCTTATCTATTTTCAATAGTAACAATTTCTCATGGTAATATATATGTTCTTTTGCGACATCATGTGTTATATTGTTCATATCAATTTTCAAACACGTACAGATTTTAGCTGAACAAATTAACAACAATGTATAACNTTAGGTAAACAAATTAACAAAAATGCGTAATTAATTAAAATCATGTCGAAAAAAATTACAAAAAACTATGAGTGAAAATCTAATGTAGATATGCTGAAGAGAAAAAATTGTTACAATATAATTTTTGACATACGTGCACTTTTTAAATTGAATAAACTGTTTTTACATTTTTCTGCAAATAAAAATACTAATAATATATTTTTCATAAATTAAAGGCAGCAAACACTAGTTTATTTTTGAATTTATAAATGATTACATTTTGGCGTTTCATTTATACATTACAATAAGATCGCAAAAAAAAAAAAATTAATTAATAAATAGTATAATGAATTTATATAGATATTAATTTTTCCCCCTTTATTTTTTATGTTTTAGATCACACACAACACTGAAGAATAGTCGTTAAATAATTTCATAAATAGAAACACATTGTATTGAATTAAAATTAAATTAGTTAATGAATAAATAGTTGCTGAATAAGTAGACAAAAATATTAAACGAATTATTCACTAATTGTTGAAATATGTAATAAACAAAAATTAAAAATAATGTAATATTAATAATGGTGGAATGGTAAGGATGAAGTATGAGGTTAAATAGTATCTGGTGGTCGAACTGTGTTGAGTTATCAAATAATAAAACATCCGTAACTTACTCATTTTTGTTTATTACGTGAATTTTTAAGGAGTAAAACTGCAAATAAATAATCAATTCATTTACCTTTATTTCCTTTCGTATTTTACTGAATTAATCTTATGGTCATTTTTCGCTTCAGTTTTTACAATCAATTATAAAATCTCGCGTTTATTGCGATTAATTAGCCATTATATGTATATAAAAAGATTCTCTTCAAGGGGACCTGCGTCTATTATGATTTGTTTTTTTTTATACTTTTTATATTATACTATGTTTTTACTAATAATATTTTATATGAATTCCCTATATGGATATTCACAAAATTCTCTCTTTACCTGTTAACATATAATTTTAAAAATATTAAGTAAAATTAAAACTATATTAAAAATATTATTAATTTAAAAACTAAAAAATATTAAAAATATTTAACTCAACAGGCCAAGGCGAAAATACGCTTGATTGGAGCTGATATATTTTTTCTCAAAAAGTGTATTAAGTTCCATAACTCCGAAGTTTGCCAGATTACCAAGTAAATTTATTTTATATTATATAAAATTTATTTTACATTATATATATATACATATTATTGTTAAAGAAATCAATGTTTGGAAAGTGGTTTCATGATCTACTAATAAATGCACACAAGACTATTTAAATAATATTTATTTTTTTAACCAAAAGGTATAGCAAAATGTGGTTGTATCTTAAGTTAAGTGTAGGAATATTTACACCAATGCTTTTTAAGAATTCTGAACTGTTTTATTAACCCATTTAATAATTCTTAAACATATATTCCATATTTTAATTGCCTATTATCTAGTGATTTAAGTCCTATTAATGACGTTATATTCCTATTATTACCAATTTAAATTTGCAAAACTAAAAAAAACTTTTTGTATGGTTTCTAATTTATTTATGAGATCATCCTGATCAGAATTATATTCACTATTTGTTTAATATTATTAGTATTGTAAAAAAAAAAATAATATATTTTTTAATTAGAATATTAGAAAAGCGTTTTAGGTTTATTCTATAAATATGTTTTAATAAAAATTCAAGTGTATCAATACAGTAAGTATTTTTATGATTTTCTAGACGGAAAAAATATTGTATTTAAGAGTATTAATAAATATGTAAAACAATCATTTTTCCAAGTTTTGAACATATTATTTACTTTACGTGAGTTATTTAAGCTTTTTTGCTTTATTAGTATAAAATTTCAGTATTATTTCTATTTTGTAACCAATAAAAATTTAATGTTTAACTAATTTAATATTAATAGTATCGAAAAATCATTAACTTTTTTAATAAAAAATTTACTGTCATTTTTCTATTGACTTTTTCAAATAATTTAGTATACAAAAATCAAATTTATATAGTTTAAATTTTATAGTTAAAATAATCTTAAAAAAAAATTGTACAAATTAAAGCTTACAATATTTGTAAATAATTATTTAATTAATTATTTTTCATAAACTCTATAGTATTTATAATCAATGACTTAACTACAGGAATTTTATTTGAGAATAATAAATTATGATACAGTAATTATATAAAAATTATAGTGATGTAACATACAGTTTAGCTACTCAACGTGAGCAAAATTGTTAAGTAAACATAAACTTACTTTTATTTTATATGATAAAATAAAATATTTGGTATTTTTGAAAAAATAAAAAATACAGTTTTTAGATATTTATAAATCTTATAATTTTTTTTTAATTTCAATCATCGAAAATATATAATTAATCAATCACTTAAGATATCTTAGATTTTAGGAAGTATTTTTTTACGAACAATAACAGTGTTTTATTTTAACAAACTATATAACTTTACCTTTTAAGATTTTTTCATTACATGCTATGTAAGAATAGAATGCATCTAGCAGTAAGTCATAAAAATATGATAAATTGTGACTCATAGACTTTAATATATTTATATGATTGCTATAAATAATAGAAAACACACGATTTATAGTTATACTTTTTGTCATCTTTACCAAAAATGTACAGCCTTTAAAACGCTCGGAAAAATCTTTGCTAAGTTTAATGAATTTTTGTTTATCTACTTCCAGTTTTGGTGATTGGTTATATTCATTAAAAATTAAAATTATCTGATCGATCGGTTCTCTACGTAAACGATAATCTCGAAATTTTTCTGATAGAAAATTGAAAAATGTTAAGGCTTCATTACAATGATGACTAAACTTATCGTGTTCTTTTGGTATTTGTTTAATCGTATTTGCTGTGAATAGACTATATTGAACTAACATTGTAATTCCCATGCTTTCAATTACATTTCTAAGCCAAACTATGGCTTCCATTGGATCGTTATATTCTTGTATAGCTTGATCCGTAATTTGTTGTAAGGTTCTTCCAACAGCAGGCGTGCGATAAAATAAACGAGGAGCTGAACCTAAATATTCTTCATCCAAAGGTACAGGATTATCAATGTCGTCATTTAGATAGCTTTCTTTGAAGTTTTTGATTGAAACTTTAGCACTAGNAGTTTTTGATTGCAACTTTAGCACTAGTATACACAGAACTGTTCCGTATTACAAAATGTAACATTGTCTCGTGGTTATGTATATGTTCTCTTGCAATATCAATTGTTATATTGTTCATATCAATTTGCACACACGTATAGTTTTTAGCTAAACTAATTAACAACAATGCGTAAATACTTAAAATCATGTTAAAGAAAATTAAAATTAATCTGAGTGAAAATCTAATATAAATATGAAGAGAAAAAATCATTAAAACATAATTTTTGACATATGCGGACTTTTTATATCATGAAAAAACTATAAAATAATTGAAGAATTATAATAACTCTTGATTAATTTTAAGATCAAATAAACTGTTTTTTCATTTTTATGTAAATAAAAGTATACTATTAATATATTTTTCATAAAGTAAAGACAACACATAATAGTTTATATTTGAGTGCAAAAATGACTAATTTATATGCGTTTCATTTATATCCCACTAAACATTTTAAGTTTTGAAACGTATTATAAATGTTCATTTTAAGTGATAATACAAACTTAAATTTGTTAACATTCATTTGATGTTAAAAAATTATAATTTTATTATGACAAGTATTATTTATATACTTTTTTCATTCAAGATAATTTTTATTTAAACGGATGAAATGTATAAAGGTACATTATACATTATATATATATATATTATAAAGGAAAAAGGAGATCGTGTAGCTTTTGGAATAAATTATTAATTTTTTTAAATTAAACAATATCTACAGATTTATATCGATGCGTTTTTCTGGATAGTGATTTTAATCACAGTCAGATATCATCTATACTTTTCCCAACTATGTCACTTCCATACTGTGCCGCGACTCCACTGTGCTACCGTTTAAAATTAGTCTCTATAAACTCTAAGGTTTCATCCCATGGTAAAGAGCATAGTAATAGTACAATTTTAACTTTTTTGTAATTAACCTCCTTATAATGTGACAAGTGCACAATTACAAAAAGCATGAAATTAGTCAATAGATATGTACTCAATAATTAAAAAATGAGCAAAGTGTAAAAGTAATTTATTAGTTTATTTGTAATTCTTTTGGATTTATTTTTTTTAGAATAATTTTAAAAATGTAAACCTCTCCTGTATAAAGGAAAATGGCCCATTTTAAAAAAAAAGTATGTTAAATAAATGAAGTAAAAATAAATATTTTTGTTTCTGTTGCCACTTTTTCAGCTCTCACTGAACCGATTTTGATGAACAATATGTCAAAAGATCACAAATCGTATCTAGTCGAAGACATTACCTTCATAAATTGAAAAAATCTCCCTCGTTCCTTGTAAATGAGGGAAATTTCCAAAAATATTATAAATTTAAAAATCGCTAATTTTCGACATTTTTTCAATTTTTTTTACTAAAAACTGCCGTAACTTTTTCAAAAATGAAAATATCAATATAATTTTTTTTTTTATAGATATATAATCAGTTGGATAGTCGTATAATCGTATTTATACGTTTTAATTATTATAATTATAGTTAAATACAGTAATTATTTATAACATTGAGAGGGATACGAGTAATAATTCAGACAAAAATATGTATGATAATTAATCATAAATTTATCATTAATCGATAAGTGTATTACAATTATAATAATAATATTATAATCATTAGAATATATGTTCCAGCAATTATTATCGTCGTCGTCGGCGGCGGCGGTAGTAGTAGTGTTTATTTAAGAATGTGTTTTACTATAAGAAAACTCGAACAGTCGTCATTATTATACATTGTCGACAAAAAAAGAAAAAACTGATTTATTATTCACTATACGAATAATGGTCAAGTTATAGCTCGTATATTAACAATTAATGTAATTGACGGCGACATCGCCGCCGCGTTAAGCCATCTGCTGTATTAATCTCGAGTGCTATAGTATAAAAATATATAATCATCAATACAGCCATCTGGCACACAATGTTTCGAACTAATTTTTTTTTTTACAAATTAGGTAAAATTAACATTTTACGTACAGACTTTATCAAAATATATGCATGTCGCATATCAAAACAGCGGATTCGACGTTTAAAATTCATACTTTTCACCGTAACCGTATAGCTTACCTGGAAAACGCATTTTTTTTTTTTGTCAATAAACCGATATTACGTATATACTATATGGCCGAGCATAATTTAGGCGCGCGACAAGTTGTGTTAGTTAACGTCGTGTTTCATTACCCCCTATCATAAGATTTGGTGGAAGAGGAGAGGTTCCTCACCTGCCTTAGGTTAATTTACGTTGGATTTATCCCCCTCCATGCCTCTTCACCAACACCTCATGTGGTGTGCTGAGTGGGTGAAGCGGGAGGGAATCCCCTATATTACCCTACTTATAATATTATTCAATGAATATAAAAAAAATATATTAATTAAAAACCTTTGCATTGTAAGTTAAATATTAAAACACTTAAAAATGTTAAAATTCTTAATTCTTGTCTTTAATTGCAACCAAAATATTTGATTCAGACAAAAGTACAAACTTTAAACTAAGGTTGTCTTATTTTGAGAAAAAAGTTATAGTAATTAAAATAAAAATATCACGTTAACAGTAACTTAATATGAACTGTTTAATTTGGTTTTTAGAATATTGATATTTTACAATAAGAATCGGATTATTACAATGATAAATAAGAATTATTTCTGACTTAAAATTTTAAACATATTTTACCACGTGAGTCAATAATCAATTAATTGTATTTTTTTTTTTTTAACTAGAGTGATAGATAATTTACATTCCATTGCCATGAAATAAAATAATTTTAAATCAAGCAATAATTAATTTAATGTTATAATAAACTTCATAGTTATGCGTCAATGTATTTTTTACGTTCCGTGTTCCCAGTATAAAATGATAAATAATAAAAATAAAGAGCTTTGTTATTTTAATTTTAACATGAGTAGATTTTATTTTTAAAGCTATTGCCGTATATAAGTAGACTTTATGTTCACAGACTATTATTGCTTCCCGTATTACAAAAATCAAATTTATGAAGAATTTCTTTTTTGAATGTGTCATAGGTCTATAGTATCTCAACATAAACATACACAAAAAGTAAACAAATTAATTAATACTTTAAACGTCAAGATTGTCATTTTAGCCCTTCTTGATCCTCCTATTGGGTACACTTGTATGGCCCAACCTCTCCAGTCAGTATATTCTAGTTAATCCTTTATTATATTTATTAAATAAATAAATTTATTAAATTTTAATAGATCATTGATCACTGTTTTTTTTACTACTTTTTGGAAAAGGTCTACGTAATTATGTTACATAAAACCGGTTGTTACGGGTCAAACGAGTTATGTGCTGCGCTCTATGCGCGAAGCCAGCACCTAAAAGCTCTGCCAAGTCACATGGCCAGACTACATTCGTTTCCTCCACCTTTTTCCTCTGATGTTTATAATGAGTTCGATGTAAAAATGTATTTTTTATTATTGAGCAATTTGAATAGATATTGCTACAAATTTGAACTACCATTTATTTATTTTATTTTTAGTATATATATATTTTTCTTGTTAATTGTGTATTTGTTATAAATTGAGTTAGATTTAAGGGATTCCTGTAGACAACCTCTCCGGCTTCAAGTAAGGTCGTGTGTTAGCAGGCAATCCTAGTCAAATATACAGTCCACTCATTCCCCAAAATCGTTTACAGGTGCCAGGGTAAGCGGCACAGTATTTGCAGCCCCCGCACTAACACTGGTAATATTTCTACAGTTTATAATTATAGACCCATTTCAAAGACGTGAATTATACAGGTTTTTGAGGCTATGCTGATCGTAAATGTTTACAAACTAATTTAAATTGATTTATTGAATGGAGAATACTTAATTTTCGCCCTTTAAACATTGATTAATATTTTTACTATTAATAAATCTTTAAAAATGCATAGTTTTCTAAATAGAAACATAGTACAATTTAAAAATAAAATCTTAATATTGTACTTTGGTTCATTCTCAATCAGAGTTTGATTCTCTTATTTGGTCTCCTAACTACATAACCCATATTTCAAAATTTAATAATGATGAATATAAATTTTTTTAAATTATTTGCATTCAAGATGAAACTACTTATTTCCAGGGATTTTTTTACATTCGTTGCGGACTCAATGGGCTAGATACATGTCATATCAGGTGTAAATTAGCAGACATTATGTTCATTTACAACCTTATAAATTTTAATGATGATTGTCCTGAACTACTATTCCAAGTTGGATTTATTACCATTTTACTAGAACTCAATCTTTACACTACGTTTCTAAATTTAAAAGTAATGTTTAAGACGAATTGGTGATGATGAACAAACGGTAGTCGACACAATTAATTAAAAAATCGACGTGGACCCGTTTTTTCACACAAAAAAAACCACAATTACAAATAATGTTGCACAGTAGTTCGAGATTAAAAGAATTACACAGCACAAATAATCAAGAGATGCGTTGACGTCGAAACAGTGCTGGCAGTTCGGTATCAACAAGGTGACTTGAACGTATCATTTGCGGCAGGTCGTCGGCAATTGCTGCACTTTGTACCGCGGTATTAGTCCGTCAAATTATCATAAGAATGGCGATGGCTGATAAGGGTGGCATAGGTCGCGGGGCTACGTGCAACACCAAGCGGCGCGGGACCGTGTCACTAATTTTACAGCTGCATCTCTTTTCCCTGGAACTTTGAGACTAGCCAATTTTGTTTATATGTATTGAGATTTTTTTAATACGTCTCGTGTTCGCTGGAAAAATAATATTGTGTCAGTCCTTTGACCCACTTTCAATTCTAAATTTTTATTTCATTTTGTTTTTTACGTACACTTTATTCATTATGGATTCATATTTTTAATGAATATTATTTTCATTTTGTAACGTTAATTGTTGTCGTGAATATTGTTTATAAAAAAGGTCGATTTGCCCGTTAATGTTATAGAAATAAATAAAATTCTTTCAGTTATTATAAAACACACAGACGACTGATTTGAATTGACTAATGAAAACTAAAAAGAATAATAAAAATTGACTAATAAGATAATGTATATTGGTGAAATGGTTACTGTGACTAGCAGTACAAAGGAAATGTTGCCTACTTAGGGCCAACAGTAAACAAAACAAACGACATTTAAAGTGCCGAATTAGCGCGCACTGACTAGAAATATTTACTAAATACATTTTTGACTAGTTTTAAAAACATAATATGATAATATGAACAATAAGTAACTTATAGAAACGCAAATTGAAAAGTAGTGCGACTGGCCAGTTGCAAATATCTGAAAAATGGCTATATAATTAATAATTCTACAAGTACCAGTACGAAAATTCACCAATCATTATGAATATTTGCGTAAATTTAAAAAGTTAGCCTTTATCACTCCTTGTTATAGTAAATAGTAGCAAACTAGAACGATTGAACTCTGATTTACCTGTCAAATTTTCCAATCGCTACTGATTCTATGAATAAAAAAATATTTAGAACAATACTTTTCAAATATTTATACTAGCACTTACAATTGGAGTGATACATGCGTAGATGCACTGTACGGGATAGGGGTCTAAGACTCCCTCTAATTAAAATTTAACTCTCCCTCAAAAAATTAAAAATTGTATGCGTTGTTATATAAAAGTAAATTTTTGAAGGACAAAATATTAAGTGTAGCCTATTTTATAATTTTGACCACCTTACGCTAATGTACATACATAAAATTTTGATGATAAATATTAAGAAACAAACAAAAAATAGTCTTTCGAATTGATAAATGAAATACTCTAAAAATTAGGAGCAGAATTTTGCTACCTTAAAAATATGACTCATATCATATTATTTAGTCAAGTGAAAACCTTAGTTTCCATAGAATGTGTGGTGATATTTTTAAAAAAATGTTTACGTATGTATGTTTTTATGATTTATTTATGTATTTAGTTAGATTTGTAAACAATATAGTTCGGAATTTATTATTTTCAATAATTTATTGTGCATCTTTAAAGATCAGAATGAGCTTATTTATATTTATTTTTTAAAACTTTATTTTTTTAAGTCAAATATTTCTTTGTCAAATAAAATTATATTGAACAAAACATTACTCCAACCACTATGGTCTTATGGCATAATAATTTGGGGTCCAGCAAAAAGTTCTAACCAGAGAACAATCCAAAGTTTCCAAAACATCTGCTTAAGAATCATAACCGGGGCGCCCTGGTACGTCACAAACATGGCCCTACATTCAGACCTCCATCTCAACACAATTAAAGAAATGGCTAGATTATATTATAAAAGATTCTGGATGAAACTTGAATCCAACCCCAACAGATTAATTGAAATGCTGAGCGCAAACGCCTTGCCTGGCAATCCAGTAAAAGGCGTCTTAAGAGATAATGGTGCAGAGACCTATTATCTTTAAAAATAATTTAATCTTGTTAACATTACGTAATTAAAACTCCTAATTATTGTACAAACTACTATATTATTATTATTATTATTGTTAATATTAAGTAATAAAACTAAATATACATTTTCAATAGCAGGCGACTCCAATGGGAGCGACCCCACAGGCTACTAATATTAAGTATTTTATAAATGTATATTTTCTAAACTATTTACTTATTGTAAAATTTTTTTTTTACAGATTGTAAATTTCATAAATAAAAGAAAAAAAAACTTTTTTCAAGATGACGTCATGAAATATAATTAAATCATAATAATATCAAATAAAATTTTCCCAGCACGTAAAATTTACGCCACGTCGATTAATGTTTCATTTATAAAAAAATGAGCACTGTAATAATAATGCAATCTAGAATACTTATTTTTAGATTGTACTAATAAATGGGCGTAAAGAGATTTAACCGATTTTTATCATGATAAACAAATAATTATAATCTATTTAAACAATAATTAAAACAAATTATTTTACGTAAAAATATTTGAAAATATTTTTTATTTTATTAAATTTTTTTTTAATTATCTTTTTAATTGAAATACATAAAAATATTCTAGAAATATCAATATTAAACTTTTTAGTTTTGCGTCACTACTTGTTGTTGTATTTAAAGAATCCTACTCAGGTACACTCACTAAATAACTGCAAAATGAAAATCCTAAAAATATTTTACGTAAAAATAATTCAAACAAATGTATTTAGTTTTTATTTTATTGTATTATTGTACATTTTTTTGGCATACTTTGACGAATTATTCTATTAAAAAAAAACATCTTACGAAGTGTCGTGCATAGTGCACATTTTTCATTTGAAAAGTCCAAATTATTCCACTCTTGTAGACGCACTAAATTACTGCAATTTGAATAACGATTAATAAATTCATTACAGTCATTTTGAAATATGGTTTTTGACTTTGTGCACGGTTTCACTTGTGAATATTTATTTACATTTTCTACAAATTTGTCTATTGGCTCAGTACGTATGAGATATTCTTCAAACTTTGCCTTCAATTTCACTATTTGATTTGTGTATTCTTTCATTATACCTTTTAATTTGACATGTAATATATTTAACAACATTTTAATAATTTTACAATAATTAATTAGCAAAGATATTCCAATGCTTTCAATTACATTTCGGATCCATGCCATACCTTCAAAATATTGTTCTTTTATACGAGCTTCTTTAACAATATCGTGCAATGTTCTACCAACAACATCAATTTGATACATAGCAACTGGAGCAGTACATCTATATGGCTCCGATGGAGGTGCGGGGGTTGGAGCAGTGTAATTAATGTTTAAATTAAAATTCAATGTTTCTAGATCAGCTTTCATAGTTTCTGGTGCAGTATATATTTGATGAGACATTATTTTTAAATCCATTAGATTCGCGTTTGCTTTTACGTATTCATTGTATTTATGTTTATCAAGTACTCCATCATTCAATATGATCATATTACATATCATAATATTCATGGAATATAAAAAAATGGCTATAATTAAATATATTTGCATTGTAAGTTTACGTATAAAACGCTTATCAATGTTAAAATTAATTAATGGTGTCGAACCAATTGAATTTAAAAGATATTAGTTTTTAAGTACTATTTTTATTGATATTCAATATGTTTATTGACGTCAAAGTACAAACTAAAGTCGGCTTACTTAGCGAAATATTATAACAATTGAAATGAAAATATCGTGTTAGTACTAACTTAACATAAACTGTTTAATTTGACTTTTACTTTATAAATATTTAAAAATTAAAATCGGATTACTACAATGATAAATGATAAATATTTTTGACTTATCAAATATTTTAAGTATATTTTGCCACTTGAGTCAATGTATAAATTGAATATTCAATAAATTAAAATGTTTTTTTTTTTTTAACTGACTATAGTGAAAATAATTTTAAATAGAAATTCCATAGTATGAAATAATTTAAAGGCCAAAAGTAATTGATTTAATGTAATTATAAAATTTATAATTATAGTGTTAGTTGTAGGAGAGATTGGGAAAATAGCTGCCACGGGTTAATATAGGTCCCCTAAATCTGTTCTAAACTAAATCACTAGGTAGACATTGATTATAAAGAATGAGTATCTTTATTATTACTTAAAATATAATACTAGCGGTAATATAATAATTTTTTCTCACCAAGACGTTTTCATTTTTTTGTTAACGTCCATTTTGTAATTTCGTTTTTATCAAATTTATTTTTATATACGAATGACATATTATATGTGAATATTGGTTTAAATTTTGCAAAGTATCGACTATTGTTCTAAAAATAATGAATAATGATTTCATTTAATGAAATATTATCAAGTGTATATTAAGGGATATTTAATAAATCATTATTAAATCAAATTTTCCTATATAACAAATTCATCTTCATTTTGTACTTACCACGACGAGGAACATTTAAGCAACTTTTCCATTATCTCTTAAACTTAAACTCTGAAAACATATAAAACAATTGTTTTGCCTATGTCTCCGCAACCCATTTATTATGAACTACTTGATTAATCGAAAAATAAAAACAAAATTATTAGTTTTTGCATTTGCTTCTCTTAGTTTAACGGAAACTTACCAAAAATGTTTCTAACCAACGAATACTGTATAACTTTGTCACTATCTGATTTTCTTTTCTAAAGATACTTAATTTAAGTATTGTCGAAAACAATTTGTAAATGACACTACAATAACAAAAATATCGTAGTTTTTAATTAGTAAACTTTGATGATATTAAAGTACATATCTAACAACGTATATTATATATAATGTTTTAATAATGTAAATTTTCATTATTAATAAAATTAATAAGTGTATTCTTCCCATACTAATTCTCGACAGTAAAATAAGTGGATGTTATATTAAAAACATTAACACCAAAATACGGAAATAAATAAAAAATAAAATTATATATAATAATATGATATCTATATAAATATTTGTAATATTGTATTTTATTATTTTATTATGTAATAAAACGTTTAAAAATTAGTCAATGCTAGACAAATTACTTAACGATGTCCAATTTACTCATAATTTTTTTAATAAAATGTTGTGCTAAACAATAATTAGTTCGTTATTTTTAAGTACACATTTGTATTTTATTTTTTTGTAGTTGAAACATTGAGGTATTATGTTACAGGATATGTTTTTCTAATCATTTGTAATTTTTGCGGATACTAATATCATTGAATATCTGCTATACTCTAATGTCTAATAGAGACGAAATAGATTCAAATAATAATTAATTCATTATATATATATATATATTAATTGGAGTATGATATAACTATAAAATTCTAGTAACACGTAATAGCCTATAATTTTATAATACAATATAATTTATTAATATTTTTGATGAAAAGATAGTGTTTAAATTGAATTATTATTTATATTATTGCGATGACCTTGGAAAAAATGCCAACTGTATACTTATTACATTTTACTATCGACACATTTTAAATATTACTCATTATAATCATTGAATGTCAATTATATTCTTGGTATACTTATTTTGAAATAATACTTTTTGTGATTAAAAATTTTCGTGGCGACGTAGCCGAGTACTCCTACGGGAATATTGAAACTGGTCCGTAAGGATGACCCAAAGAGCCTAATGAGTCATGGGTGCGTGGGACTAGTAGAGGACCACACTTTTTTGGAAGACAGAGACTAGTCATTTATTATTCATTAATGTTACATTTTATTTTAATTATTAAATTCAAAGTTAACAAATGTTACACGAATATTTCAAAACCGATACTATGTAGTAAACACTATTAAAATAATTAAAAATAAATGAAAATCTAATAATTTCACAATCAACGTATGAACTAATTGAGTTAATTACGCTATTTTAAAATTAGAGACATGATTTTATTGGAAAATTATTTTTATATAATATATTGTGTATTAAGTATGAAAGATTAATGCACACTAGTGACGTAGTCAAGGAGGAATAAGGTGGCAGCCCAAATCGATATGAATGCAACAACCAAATTATGTACTAAAATTTATATTTATTTTATCGACAACTTTAATTAAATTACAAATCATACAAACTAAAGTTTGGATTAAAATTACCATTTTGACAGGTCATCAATTAAATTTGATTCGGGAAACATTAATTCTAATTTTGAATTAAAAATGTTGTATCTTCTGAATTCCCAATATCATTAAAATTATATACCTCTACTAAATTAACACAACTCATGTAACGGCTCTTAACTAAATAGCAATCCTTTAAATATTTAATCTTTCCGGACAAACGATTTTCAGTGAATATTAAATATTTGATCATATTTATCATTTTATCAACTGGTTCTGTTCTTATCATGTGAAAATTGAATATTTTTTGTATTTTTTTTATATTCAAAATATAAGCTAACTTTCTCTCAACGACATTAATTTCATGATAAAAAACTGCAGCAGTACCTTTGTATAACTGGGTTGGATTTGTTAGAAGTGATAGATTACCCCACAAGTTGAAGTTCCATTTTTCTCAATCAGTAACATTTATCATTTCTGGTGCAGTGTAAATTTGATGACTTATTAAAGTTAAATTCATTAGCCTTTTATGGTAGGTCATGAAATGTAATAATAAACGTTCATCGGGTTCTTTAAGATCAAGTTCATTAGAGTTTTGATGACTGTTTTCACCATGAAGACAAAATAAAGTCTGAATTTTTTTTTTACATAATAAAGTATATTACATTTGCTTTAATTTAAGTTATATATAAAAGTGTCAGTATTTCTGAAACACTTTCAAAAGTTGTGTTGAAAAAGTTAATTTTTTATGAAAAAGTTGTCATTTTGAATCCCCCCCTGTGGGTTGGTAAAGGGTTAAATTTATAATAAAAATATACCAAATAATAAATAAAGACATCAATCATCTATAAAAAAAAAAAATTATATTGATATGTTCATTTTTGAAAAAGTTATGGCTGTTTTTAGTAAAAAGAGTTGAAAAAATTTCGAAAATTAGTGATTTTTAAATTTATAATTTTTTTGGAGATTTTACCCATTTACGAGGAACGAGGGAGATTTTTTCAATTTCTGAAGGTAATGTCTTCGACTAGATACGATTTGTGATCTTTTGACGTNAAAAAACCAATTAGCTACCTATATTTGTAATCCCTTGTGTATTATACATGTATATTAACTCAAAAATTTGAAACTTTAAATGTTTATATCTAATAAAATGATGAAGTGGTAACAAAAAAAAAAAAAAAAAAAAAACACATCATTGTAAAATTAATACCTTCTCAGCTTCGCATCGAAGCTATAACACGATTTTTGTAAAAAAATTCTCTTTTTTATATTTTTAACTTTATAATGCTATAACTTTTTGAAAGATGGATGGATCAATATAATTTTTTTTTTATTTATAGATGCATGATGTCTTTACCTTTCATTTGGTATATTTTTTTTATAAATCTGACTTTTTACCCACCTACAGGGGGCATTCAAAATGACAACTTTTTCACAAAAAATTTACTTTTTCAACTTAAATTTTTAAAGTGTTCCGGAAGGTCTGACACTTTATTATGCAAAAAAAAAAATTTCGGACTTTATTTTGTCTTCACGGTGAAAATCAAATGCTATTATTGTGTGAAAATTCTCGATTTTATTTTTTACATTTTCAACTTTGTAATGATAAAACTTATTGAAAACTGAATGGATCAACATAATTTTTTAATGAGAAAAAAAATTTTTTAGTTTTCCCTTTTTTTCAACATACTTTATCTTAATCAGGATATTAATAAGGAACTAGCAGATTATGTAGCATTTGGAATAATTCACCAATTTTTTAAAATTAAACACTATCTAAAGATTTGCATCGTATCGTTTTTTTTTATAGTGATTTTAATCACTGTCAGATATCATTATACTTGATCTAACTATGCCACGTCATCATTGTGCCGCGACCCCCTGTACTGGGTTTTTTATACTTAAAACTGCCATAACATTTTCTAATATTAACAAATCAAAATAATATTTTTATATATTGAAACCTTAGGTAATTTCCTTTCATTTTTTTTGAAAGACTAACACTTATTCTGCTTATAGGGGGTGATTTAAAATAGCACCTTTTTTACAAAAACTAACTTTTTCAACTTAACTTTTGAAAATGTTCCGGAAATACTGCGTCTTTTAAATATATATCAAATTAAAGCTTATTTTATGTACTATAATATAAAAACAAAAAATTTGTCCCGACGACCTATCTTCTATGCGCAAATGGCTACCGTATTCAATAATATGCAATTTTTTTTATTTAAATTCCGGATTTTATATTTTATTTTATTTTTAAATATCTTATTAGGGGAATACACTGCCTTTCATAAATATTATATAATTTAATTGACATAGAATAAAGTTCATAAGACATACAAAATAAAACTTATTAAAATTTTTTTACTTTTTTAAAGTCGAAAAAGTAATTTTTAAATTTGAGTGAGCTTAAATAGCCAATTTTATCATACGACAAAAGCAACGAACAGTTGCCAAATGGGTAACACCTGTATCTTTCACTCTTAGGGTACGAGGTTCAAGTCCGTCTGTGACTTTTAATATTTTGCATTTTTTTTTTTGAGTTAGATTAAAATTTTCAAATCATTTGATATTTATATCATTTAGATTCAATAACTTCAATAAATATACAGGATCCTATCACTATAGTCTCCCCTCGTGAGAAGAAATTTATATTCATGTTAATATTATTTTACTATGTAGTTCTTTTCGTGGCTACGATTTATTTTGCCAACCCTCACTAGACATACTTTTTTCAACGATATGTCAAATGATTACATTTCGTATTTAGTTTAAGTTATTACTCTTAAAAATCGAAAAAATATTCCTAATTCAAACCAAAAGTTAATTAGAAATGATTACTATGATTTTTATTTAAGTGATCTATTACGATAAAAATGTAAAAAAAATCGAACTTTTCTCATTAATGTACTGTAAATAGTAATTATAAAATTTCCTGATTGCATTAATCTTAATCATTAATCTGATATTAATCTTAACAATTTCATTTTTTTCTATTTAATAATGTAAATTTCAAACTTGCAAAGTTGAGCTAAAAGTTATGGTAATAAATTCATTTTTGTTCTATTAAAACTTTCACTTTAAAGGACAAAAAAAAGTAGGTTCAAAATGATTACTTTTAACATATTAAAAATCAAAATCAATAATAATTTGAAAACAATTAATTTTAAAAATTATATAATATATAATTAAAAGAAATACTA